TCGGAGTGTGTGTGTGTGTGTGTGGTAGCATATCTTTAAATTGCTGCTATCTGCAGGATAACTTAAATTTAAGAATCATGACTATAGTCAGGATTTGTTTAAAATCTGCTCAAGGGTGGGGAATTGCAAGCTAAAAGAGACTGGTAAATTGGATTCTAAATCTTTTGATGCAGGGTCACTTTCAGGTAATTGGAGGCTCTAAATTCAGAATTAGAAGAGATGGAGGAAAGGGTTTCATGTAACCTGTCCCATCTCCCACGCAGGATGAGATAACTAAACTGATTGACTTTTTCTACCCTCCATGCTATTTCACATCTGCTTGTAACCACTAGTGGGGTCATCCAGAGTTTTTGAGTGCATTATCATTAGTCTACTGATGATACAGCAGCCCTATTTCTCTTTTCCATCATTACTAGGTGAGGTTGTGGATGGACTGAACCAGTTTCTGGCTGTGAAAACGGACTGGATGAGACCTAGCAAACTGAAGCTGAGTACAGAGAAGACCAAGATGCTATTGGTGAGTAGTTCCTCTGACTGGTTGGGGGATGTTCAACCTGTTCCAGATTAGTCACACTTCCTTAAATGTTTATAGCTTAGGGGTTCTCTCTGATCCATCTGCATCGCTTGAAGTTTGGGTGTCCTCAGTGGCTTGGAGTGCCTCCTACCGGCTTTGGCTGGCCCAGCCATATCCCTGTCTGCACAGAGACAGCTTGGCTTTCATAACCACAATCTAGTAATCTCTGGATTTGTTTATTGCAAGTAATTTTATGTGTGGGAGTCCTTGGAGCAGCAGCTCATGCAGAACAGAGCAGCCAAGATCAAGAACTGTGACCCATAGGTCAAAACAGTTCTGTTCCTCTAGCGCTGGGCCTAACCAAGGTTGTGGTTTTTGGTTATACAGCTTGGACCACAATACCTGATGGAGTGCTTCTCTCAACAAAAGATAGCCCACTGACCACTCCACTCCACATGTGGGGCCTTCCTCTGACTGCTGACTCCAAGGAGGCTTGGAGGGCAGCAACAAGAGAGGGGGCTTTCTCTGTGGTGCCCCCATCTATGGAATGACCTCCCCACTGTGGTCACCTGGTGTTGATCTTGTCAAATTTTCAGCATCAGGTTCCGATGGCCCTTTACGTCAAGGCTTTTAAAGACCGGTATGTCCAAGGACTTGAGAGGATTATCCCAGACATTTTTCTTTTACAGATTTATTCTTCACTGTATGCTATTCGCTCTTCTATCTTTTTATTTTTCATTAGGCTTTACTGCACTTCACTGTATTTTTATGTACTGTTGTAAAATGCCAAGAGAGCTTTGGCTATTGGGTGGCATGGAAATGAATGTCTATGAAATCCTCATAATTCTTTTCTCTAAAGGATTATAATGAATTCACAATTACAGGAACTTTTGTGATGCTTTTAAAATTACACATGTAGAAGTATTTGAGGCTTGGAGAGGTGAGCAACAGTGAACCAGCACTGTCTGGGGGCACCCACAGTTCGGGATCCGTCCAGTCCAGTGAGGCATGACTGACTCAGTGCAGTTTGGTTTCTCTCATTTTTCCAAGCTTCATTTTTCCAACACTATTTTTTAAATGTTTGTATGAAAACACATCAACATTTTCCATTTGCATTTTTCCAAAAGAAATGTCTTCCAGAATGCATTTTTGCATCGTGTGCCATATTTCTATATTTTTAGTGAGCAGTTTTCCTAATATATTTCCTTCTAGAACATCTTAGAGGACTATTGGAGCTGTTGCAACAACCATGCTCAGTAACTTATATGACAGAGAACATAGAGAATCTTTCAAGTGGGGTTTATCTGAGAAGGGGACCTCTATAAACCATGTTCAGTTGCTCAAAGTCTTTTATAGAACATTGCCCCAAAATGCCCATCTCAGCATTATGCATAAGGAATGTGTTGCTATCCCATTTTTCCCCAGCAGAGAAAGCAAAGAATAAGGCAGAGACAGAGAATACCAAGCTGGTGTTCCTTCTTTCCCTTGGAAAGAGCAGGTAGCTGACTGGTTGCTGGATCACCAAGGAGAAGAGCTTGGGGGGGGGGGGGGCAGCTGAGCCAGGCACAGTGATGGGGAAAGGTTTGTTCTTTTTCCCTCTGCTTATGTTATTGGAGCCTTCTTCTGGTCTCTGCCATCTCTCGCTCCAAAGGCCATGAAAGGGCTCCTCTGCCCCTTACTGTGATCTCAAATTCTATTCACTTGTGCAAACGGAATGGGAATTTAAATCTTTAATGAGAATTAAACAGATTCAACATTTTTGTATTCTGGTTTATGATAAGCTAACAAAAAAAACATGGTTTATTCATTCATAGGGACTGCATGACATTTTCCTTCAGGGACAGAATTAACTTAAAAACCTAAACAGAATTAGGCATTGGAAACCTCTTGACTCTTCTGGGCAGCTAGACTATCAGGTTCTAAAATTTATCCTGAATTTCTTATCCATTTTGGAAAGAACCCTTTAGCCACCAACAATGGCTAAATGTTGAATCACCAGAGTTTTTCCAGGCTTCTAATAAGTCAAAAGACTCACTGCTAATGTTCTGATGTTGTGATTCACCCACCAAAGCCTGGAGTGGCCTCAGGCCTATTATTATTATTGCTTTGCCTTTATACCCACCTTTTACCTTCTTGTGAGTAGCCCAAGGTAGCTTCCATAACTACATTTTTCCTCCCAACAATGGCACTGTGACATCACCCGGGAACTTCATGGTCTCATGGGGACTAGAACCTGGATCTTCCAGGTCCCCAGTCCAAAACTTTCCCCACTGCACCACACTGACTCTTTTCATATATGCTCAGACTGGGCAGCACAATCTATTCCAGATGTTATTGAGGGTATCTAGTGAGCTAATGTCAGAATCATGATCTCAGATCTGGAATCAGATGTTGTGTAGATCAATACACATACACACATGACAAGATAATGAAATGTCACTTGGATGCATACATGAGATCATAATATTCCCATTATCTTAGAAGTCCTGGGGCAATTCTCAAAATTGTTCTGCTTCCCAATTAAAGGGCCAAAATTGTACAAGGAGTCAGAGAAGGAACACCTAGGAGGTGTATCAAGACTTCTCTGGCAGTAGGATGATGCATGACTGAAGAAGGCATCGGGCATTGCTTCATTCATTTATTTAAAGCTTTTACACACTGCCCCATTGCTGGCATCTCGTGATGGTTTACAACAGGTTTTACCTACCGAAATGCATTTGCTCAACATCTCAGTGTGCTACTCAACATTTCTTAGAGGTTTATTCTCTGCATCTATCTTCTTAAGCAGAGAGACTTTGTTGGCCAAGCGTACAAGTGAGTTTGTCCTTAGCTTCGATTCCCTTTTAAAACAGTAGCTGGAATTTGGGGTTCATGCAATTTCATCCATGAGAAGGTTACCCCTCCACTCCTGAACTGTTACCCTGACCAAAAATGCTTCATGAAGTTATTTGGCTAAGGAAGGAAGGAGAATGTGACCTGCACATGTAAGAGATACTTGCTGCAGCTGAGCCCTGCGTGAGACTCAGGAATCCAGCTTTCAGGTTCAGCCTGCCCAGTGCTGGAACAGCTTTGGCAGCTCTGATTCCTGGTAGTCTTGTCCTTGTGAATGACCCTCTGTGCTCTGGACTATTAGACTCCTACTTGACTCTCTCTCTATGATGGGTCTGATTTCTTATCTGTGCTTTGACCTTTGCTTCTATGTTGACCACTCCTGCCTTAGTCTGGTACTGCTTTAGACTAGAATTTTGTGCTGGACTTCTTGCTTGTACTGCTGCTTTGCCTCAGAATTTGCTCTGACATTGTGTTTATTCAGCTATAGCAAGCACAGTCTCAACAAGCTTTTACCATGCAAGAACCTTGTATTAGGTTCTTGTTGAATTTTTCCTGTTTTTCTGAAAATAAAGTCAAAGAAACAATTGACAGGTTGGGAGAGAGAACAGAAATGCCACCTTGGCCTAATGCAATGAAATACATCTCCTTAATTCTTTGTTTTGAGAGACTGTTCAGGAGCAGGAATTTTATTACATTATTAAATATGACACAAAAGGAATGTATAATGACAGGTAAGTTTTGTTGAAGCTGATAGCTAATTTAGTTATAGCTTTCCTTAATAAATGAAGTATTTTTATCTGTCCTTTCAAGTTATTCTCCAGAGGTTTTATTTCACTTTTAAAACTGACTCTCCGGTCTTCTAATGTAACTTAATCCTCCTTGGGAGGCAATTAACGAATGCAGAAAATTTGCTACCTTGTGCTTCTACCTTTCTCATGAAAGGCTTTCCCCTTCTATCATTAGAGTCAAAAGGTCTTGACGTATCTTTTAAAAAAGAACATCATATTAAAGTGGACTTTAAATGTGTCTTCCCTTTAAATGATGAATGTGGGGATGCTGGCTTGTAAAACAATTTTTAAAAAAATCAAAATATGTATACCTTGTTTTTCCACTACTAAAAGAAGGTAAGAAAAGGAAATATTCAGAAATCAATCAAAAACTGGAACAGTAAAATGTTAGAATCAGTTTTATTGTGGATAAACAGTGTATTTATGTGTATGTAGAGAGAGTTCCTGATATCTAGGAGCTGATTAGCATTCTGATTAAAGAAATATAGGAGTAGACTGTCAGACCAGTTATTTGTAAAGGAGCATTTATATATACTGCTATATTTATTATTACTATTTTGAATTTCAAACATTGTTAATGAAGTCCATCGCCACTCCATTTCTGCAATACTTCACATTTCCCCCATGAGCAGTATTTCCTTGAGGGCAGACAGCTTAATTCCGAGTGTCTTCCTGGAAGAATTCCCTATATGAAGAAATGTCACAATGAATTTTCCTTGACTCACATGCTGCAATCCTATGCATGCTCACCTAGGATTTTACTACTACACAGTTTTAATCAGCCTAACAGAACAACTGGTGTGTGTTTCTTTATTCAGCACTTGAAGACTTACTATAGTTTTTCTAGTATTCTATATTTATTCCTAGGGAGGTGGTTGAGACCCCATCAGTGAGGGTGATCAAGGAAAGTCTGGACAACCACATGTGGGAGATCACATGAATGGAGCCGGCTGGAGCCAATGGTCAGACTAGATGGCCTTGGAGACCCCTTCTGACTCACTCTGTTTCTAGGATATCTGTCTAATGTTTCTTAATTTGCAGACATATGCCATGTTCACAAATAATGCTGAGCCAGGATATGCACTAGCAGGACACATACAGCTTGCTTGCTCCTTTCTTCAAATAAGAAGAAAAGTAAGTCAGCCCTAAACCAGGTTGTGAACTTGGCTACAGAACCTAGCTTTCTGGAAGCATTTAATCACAGTTCCCAGTTCATACAAAACAGGTATGCTTGTTGCCAATTGCATGAAAAGAGAACCAAAAGAATAGGAAAGGGGCTATTCATGGATATATGTGATTCATGCATATTCTGTATCATTGATTTAGGATTTAAGTTATCTAGCATGCACAAGTTAGCTGGGTCACAGCTAACTTACCAGGAGAAGTCCTGTGTTTTCAAGTTTATGTTTCTAACATTCTGCTTTAATCACTATGGATGACATGGGAATCATTAAAACAGCATAACAAACAAGACAGAAGAAATATACATAGTCAGATCCTTCTACTGTGTTGCAAAGAGAAGTTCTGATGGAACCACAGCTTCTCAGGAATGCCATGACCAAGAGATGACTCTTCTTTCCCAAAGAAGTTCTTGGAAGGTTCTTCAGCTGACCTTGGAACTGGAAAGTGTAGAATACCTCTTCTTTTTCCACTAATAAGGAGGTGGATTTTGAGACATGAAGTCAGTCACATCAAAAAAGCCATTCAAAGGTTCTTCAGAAATATTTGAATGAGTCTGTTCAAGAAGGCTGTAGCTTGTTGCCATGCAGAAAGCCCCAGAATCATTTTCCAGCATCCCCACTTAGGACTGGGGTGGGGAAACCCTGCTTGAAATCCTACAGAGCTGCCTTGTTGACAGGGCAGTGTTGACAGGATGGGCCAATAGGCTGAATGAAACCACTTCCTATGTCCCAATTCCCTAAGCTTTTCTGGGACATTTTTGAAGCTCTCTAGCAAAGACTGAAGGCAGCTCTAATAGCCACTAGTCACTGGCCACTAGCACAGGGCCAGTATGGCACTGTAGTTAGGGTTGGGATTAATGTACTGGCCTGGAACACAGGAGACCTGGGTTCTAGTCTCCACTCATACATGAAACTCACTGGATGGTTTTTGATCAGTTGCTTCCTTTCAGTCTAACCTACTTACTGCTTTGAAGATGAAAGAGAGGGGATGAGAACTTTTGAAAGCTGCCTTGGCTTACTGGCTAACAAAGAACTGTGGGATATAGATGTAATAATAACATTAGTCCGCTTTTACATATACATACACATTCCAGCTATCTTTTTTTGAACCAACTTTCAGGGCAGAACTCATTTCAAGGTAGCATACAATAATACATCAGCTTAGAATAATTATTAAAGTAACAACAACAGTGGCAACAGCAATCAGGTCAGGAGAACTTAAGATGGAACGTTGCCCACTCCTGTGGAAGACAAGCAAGCACAGAAACAAAAATAGCCATACAAATGTCAAGTCATTCTACAAAATCAGGCATTTAGGCAAGGATATAAAATTCACATCAGTAAACTCAGAGAGAGCACACTCCATTTAAATATAGTTTAAAAGACAACTGGTATAACAGTCTAAAAATTAACATCCAGTGACCAGGAGTTCCATTGTCTTGATTGTACCAACCAATGCACTTTGTCTTTCATTCCTGAGCTTGTATATGGGTGTGTGTGGGTTTGGGGCAGGCAAAGGAACAGGCAGAGTCACAGTTGTTCTTAACAGTCACCATTCCTGCTCAGAAACAAAATGCTTTCTAACTTACGTAAGTATTTCTTTAAAAAAAAAAGCTAATTTTAAATTCTCTCTTGCTTCCCTTGCTATTGTGTTACTTATTAATTGCACTGCCTTCATTAATCCTAAAGGAGTCTGATTTGTAGGAACTAGAAGGGGAATGCAAAATCAAGACGGAACACAGACCACATTGAATTTTCAGACCTCCATTTGACAAAAAACTCACATGTTTCACACTCGATCAAACTGATGGGTTTTAAGTCTCATGGGCTTCCAGACATTTACCTGGATTAGGAAGAGGTTAAAAAGAAAGTGATGAATTATTAATACAAGAACATGGTTCTTACCCTCCTGTGACCTGCATGGGAAGAAGATGATGTTAGACTGGTTGTTCTAAGTTGGTACTCTTAAGCAGTCTGTGTCTGTACCAGTTAGGGAAAACGTTGTGTTGGCTTGATTTTATTCTTTTATCAGCATGACAATTCTCCCCTAGCATCTAGCTAAAGGATGGCATGGCACTCAATTTTTGGTAGTCTGTGGCCTAAAGGAACACTGTTTTACAAGTGTGCACTTTTTTAACTCCACAGATGGCACAGTATGCTCCATGCATGGATGCAAACACTAAAAATTCAATGAAAGGTTCTGATCATGTGTTGTGTCCATCTCAGTTCTGTCTCACTATCTGGTTCGCATAACCAAATTCACACACATTTCCTGATTTGTACAAATTTCCTCCATAGATAGAATCAGCTCCTGCTTGGTATATGGAGAATAGTTGCAGAAATTAGGATTAGAAATGTGGCAAAACTTCCACAAATTTCCTCTTTGAGCTCTGCTCAATATCTATTTAAACAGAGCAAGCACCAAACCTGAAATGCAAACAGAACTGGGCATAGGATAAGCAGCAAGGTTCAGCGAATCCTGGAAATTTCAGAACTTGCTCATTCACTCATCCCTAATGCAAGTGCAAATTTGAGCCAGTCTCTTTCCAACATGACTGTGGGAATTCATCCCTGCCTCGCAGCATTCATGCTGTAGCTAGGCACGTTACGCTCAGCCAATAGTATTGTAATTTACCAGCCAATAGTATTGCAACTTACTCAGCTAATAGCATTGTACTTCACCTGTGTAACCATATAAGGCTTGTGACCATATATAGCAATAAGTACGCTTCCTGTTTCCTGCGCCTGCGCATAAGCAATCAGTAAGCATTTTGGATCCTGCTCTTGCGCACAATGATTAGGGAGTTGGCTGATTAACTCGATGGCGATTGGTGTAGGCAAATACAAATGTAACCATCTGTGAATTAATAAAAGGGCTGCCGGTGGTGAGGAAGGAGGACATCTTTAAGAGGACATTTTAGGAAGAATTCCTAAAGAAGAACATCTTTGATTAGAATTATTCAGCTAAGAAAAACTTCTTTGTTCTCTGGAGTACTCAACCGAGCATGCTTTGAAACTTTATCTCTCGTCTGCAGTGTTTTATTTCTCTCTCAAAACTTTCTCGCGCCGATTGTCGGAGCAGGCACTCCGACACATGACAATGATGAAGTCATCTTCAAATAGACAACGCCCCTGCAACTTGCAACCCAGTTGACTGCAGAATCTGCAGGGCAGATCCTCAGAAATCCGAACTCATTTGAACCTGCTGTAGGTCTCTCTGATATTAATTGTTACAGTTTGATGCACCTGGAATGCACCAGGCCGAGGAAGTCTGCCCTCGATGAAATGATTTCTGGCAGTATATGGTGTCATCCATATTCTCTCCAGACATTTCAGTGTGCCACACCTGCACAGGTATGGTGAAAACTGCAGGTGTTATTTTACCAACCAGTTTCAACCTCTTCCTCTCTCATCTCGTGCATGAGAGATGTACCTTTTTGATAACTCACCTGCTACAGGCTGAGTAATTGCATGCTACTGAACACACGTCAGCTCCTGGAAAATGCAGACTAATAGATAAATCCCTCAGTTGTAGGTTGCCCAAGAAGGGAATGGATGCTGCAGGATTAGCTGCTTGTCTTGCTCTCCTTTGCAGGATCTGATACTGCAAAACTTTGTTTTGCCAGGCGGTTCCATCATTATTTTCTCCCACTGATGCAAAATGGTTGGCGCTGCCTGTGATTTTTGTCTATCTTACCTACCATATTTTTAGTGGTCTGATTGTCACCCTTGAAATCTGTGACAAGGAAGCTTAAGCTACTTACCCAGCTTTCATATAACTACTGACTAAGGAATGGCATAATGAAAATGGAGCAGGATGGATATTGCAGATAAGGGGGGTGGGGGAGACAAGAGGATGTGCAAAAGGAGGAGGACATAAACCAGAACTTAATTCAAAAGCAAGAATACATCAGACCTGAGATTTCATTGCTAGGAATTCAGATAGAGGGAAAGAGAGGGGAGGAATGAATGAAAACTTTTTCTGCTTCCACTGCAAAGGTGCAGATGATTGTGGAGATTCTCCACCACAGCCCATCATCTCATTTTCTTAGTTCATCCATGGGAAAATATTCCCAGCATCCATGTTAACCTCTATGATCTCTGTGTCACTCTTCCACTGGCAGACTAGTTAACAAAAATGGACACATCTTCCTGTTAAAGCAGAAATAGATAACCTGGTACACTCCAGATTATTTTGGCTGCAAGTCCCATAAACCTCAGCATACATGGATTATGTCTGTGATCATGGATTATGAATACCCAGGGTTTCCAACATCCTTGGAGATGAGAGGCCCAAGGTTATAAAGGAGCATTGAATGCAGAAGTGAACTTGAGCTCACCCCCAAGCACAGCCTTTGGTCGCAACAATCAACTTGATCATTCAGCCCCCCAATTTATGTCTAGGGCTGCTCCTTTAACGTTGCAGGTCCTCAACTACCAATAGTCATTTCTCTTTCTCCAGCTTTCCTGATGACAGAAGCCTGTGTTCATGGAGATGCACATGGGGGAGATAAAAAAGAAAGATATAAAAAGAGGAAAGAAGAGAGAAATGTCCTGTTGGCATAGTTACTTACACTCCAAACTGACATTATAAAATAAGTAACTGCTTCAGTTAATCAATTGATCAGTAAGGCTGTGCAGAAAGGTAAGTTCAGAAGGATACTCAGCCCTGGCTTGAGAGCAACTGCTTATATTAGTAAAAACTTTTCTAGACCTCTTTTAATCATCTCTCTACAGTTCAGCAGTACTGCAGATCAGTTCCATTGCATTACTTGTAATGCAGTGCTCATGAAAGAGGAATAGTCGATGTGCATTATCTG